AAGCAAACTGAAGTTGCACAGCAAACCCGTCCAGTATTGTTTGCATTTATTAGAAAGGCAATTAAATGCAAATTCTTGAATGTATAATCCTATATGGGTGACAATGGGGTTACAGCAGCACAGAAGCACTCTTCTTCCATCCTAATTAATAAGCCTAGTCAAGCTCCCATGGGAAAAGTTACCATTTTTGAGCACTAATTATGTATTAAGACATATGAACAAGGTCCTCTTCACAGATTCACATTAATGCATGCAGACAGGGACCATTATTCTCGAATGGAAGTTTCAAGAGTTTCCTCTGTCCAACTTCATATAGCAATAGCGTCCTACAGGCACGATTTACACCACTGAAACTCAACTTGAACCTGAACACTAAATCCCTGCTATGATTTTACTATTGGAGGAAGACTCTTAAAGAGATGGATTAGCAGTGGCTGCAGCAATTTTCTGGAGCACAGAGAAGACTGTGAGGATGGCACAGGATCTGGCAGCGTGATTGTTCTGTTGCACACAGGATAGCTATGAGTCAGAGGTGAGGCTTCAGCAGCAAACTAGGGAAATGCTAGGGAAATAGCCACAGACAACAAAGATTAAGGGCCTGTCCCCCACTTCTAACTCAAGATTCCACAGATTATGAGAGTGGCAAAGTGACATTGGAAACATTCCAAAATGACTTCTTCATTTTATAGTCAATTAGCCTTCACTTCTGTGGATAATAAACGGAAATAATCTGTTGAAATATGAGTTTGTTCTTCATGGAATATTGACACATAATATTCCTCTCGCCTCACAATTTCCCTCTGATTGGAAAAGGATTTCGTTCTTTACAGGTTAACTTTGACCTTTTTCCTTCCTTCTCAATAGACAGCTGTCAGGGCAAAAAAGAAGTCAAGACTGATAGTACTTCCTGTGCCAGTGCATTCTTAATAGGATTAAGTGGTTAGGATGGTTCATTCTGAGCTCAGGATCTCTGAAAGTTCCTCAGGTCTGGACAGCACTCCCTCCACCCCTCATCATCCAAGATGTTCTATCTACTGGAAATAACAGGCAACACGGCACCTAGCTCGAAGCAAATGCTGCAGCAAACCTCTGTCCTGGAAGCAACGAAAATTAAGCATGAAGACCTTATGGCAAAAGCACCTCTCTTCAAAATTTAGGCCAACAAAAATACAAACCACTTTATCAGGATTTCTGATGTCCAACTTGTGAATTTGGTTGCTATTCACGTTCTGCCTCCAAGTCTGGAGGAAGTGGAACAAGAGTGGTCCTTAGAGGTGAGGACGGGGAAATTTTATCTTACATACTTTGGACATATAGTCAAGAAGTGCCAGTCTTTGCAAAAAGACATCATGCTGGCAAAGGTGGAAGGTCAGGAAAAGAGGAAGATCTTCCACAAGGTAGAGTGGTACAGTGACTGTCACAATGGACTTGAGCATATTAGAGACGGTAGGGATGGTGTAGGATATAGGCCAAGGTCTAGATCTGTTGTACATAAGACCACTGGGCTTCAGTCGACTCAATGGCACCTAAAAACAACATGCATATTCTTTCTTAAAGATTCTTTTTTAAAAGCAAACATGTCAATTACATTCAATTGAACCATGTAAAGATGCTATTATTTTTTTTTGCACTGACAAATACCATCCTTTTTCCATAGCTGACCCTCCAGAGGGTTTTCAGAGGCAGTTAATCACATGGGAGAAAAATGCCTATCCTTCTGTGCAGCAACTGATGCATTCGAACTGCATGCCTTCAGAGCTGCAGCATAGCTTCTAACATTCACATTATTTCTTAAAGATTCTCTTCTAAAAGGAAACACTCCGATGATATTAGATTGAGCCATGTACAAATGCTTTTATTTGATGATTTTTGTTGACAAATATCTTTCCTGATTAACTTAGCTAATAACAGAAATCCTTGTTAGTTGTCATGGTGTCATTTTCGGTTCATGGCAATTTTGAGTGTTACTACTAATCCATAGTGTTTTTTTCACTGTAATACTTAGAAAAGCAAATTACTCTGGGTGGACTTGAACCAGCAACCTGTTAGTTCCAGCCAAATGCTTAACTGCTTGTAACACCAGGAATTCTTAATAATCCTAGCCATGTGTAGAATTCCCAAAATGTTGTCTTCTGTTATTTTTTAATTTAAATGGGGACTTTGCACTTAAGAATAGTTACCAAAGGAAGAATTACACAATTTGAAGAGAAACCAGAAAGGAATTAAAAAATACTTAAAAAGAAAATAAAAAAAAACCAACCCACATCTCTGACTGTTTTCAGTTCCAACTCATCATGACTTTCCATTAAGTTTCCAAGACTGTAAATCTTAACAAGAGGAGACAGTGTATTTTTCTCTCTGGTGGATTTGAACTCTCAACGTTTCAGTTTAGCAGACCAAAATGCAATGCATTATGTCACTAGGGCTCACATAGTGAACACTGTCTGTCGAATCTACAAGGACATAAGTTCTAGGGATCTAATAGTTTTATATGTATCCGAAACATACCAGTTGCCATGGAGACTCAGACACATGGTGAACCTATGTGTGTCAGAGAGAACTCTGCTTCACAGGGTGTTCAATGGCTAATTTTTCAAAACTAGATTGCCAGGCCTTTCTTCTGTGATACCTCTTAATGAACTCTAACATTTCAGTAGCACCTGCACACGTTAAGCATCTGTACGATCCATTGGCTCCTACCTCATGTATATTAATTATAAACTTTCTATTGTTAAGACGAATGTACATTAATGCTTTAAAGCTTAATTCAATTAAGATAAAAAGGAAAAATCAAAACATACATTTGATTTATATATTTACATTTTTATTAGAATTATTTAGAACTGTCAACAATTGAACAACGTAACGGTGGGTAGAGGGGACACAGAGAACAGAAACATTCTTTAAACTTGCACCTCTTACATATTTACACATAAAGTTACTGTATGTATATATATATAAAAAATATTTTCAGGGACTCATGGGCTTGGAAATATTCAAAAGACATTATTGCTACATTTCCATATTTACAAAAAAAAAAAGCCACAAAATAATTTCAAACAGTAAGCCACTGCAAAGAAATATCTGATGTAAAAAAAAAATATAAAAATATAAACTTTCAAGAATACCCAAGACAAATTTTCAGTGAAGTGCCCCTGAAATATACCTAGACATCAACAATGAACAGTCACTTTCTGTTTTATAATAAAAATCACGCTTTTCTTCTGAAAGTCAAAGGGAAGAAAACGCCAAGGAATTCTTCAGACAAGGAAAGTCACAACCGCTTACGAGGACAACACAGCCCCAAACCCATAAACTTTGGAAAGGTGCAAAGAGCCTAGGACTCCAGTGCAAATGGTCATTTCCAGATTCACGAGCACAGTTCTCTACATGGAGTCTAAGGGAGGAAACCGTGAAGACGACATCTCTGAATCTTACAAGACAACATGCTAACCTGGCCATGTACACATTTATTTCTACAGTTGGCAGTGATGAGGGGAAGGGCGGGGGGAGCAATTCACAAGAAGAGTAATATTCAGGCTACCGCCTAAATGGTCAAACTTAAATATGCTTCATTGGGACGGCAGCAAGAATAAAGTCTAAGGAACAGCTACAGTATGTTGACTATAAACAGCAGAACACCTAGAGCGCAGGTGGGATGCAACCTAAGCAGGTAGTTAAGCGCCCTGCCTACGTTCCTCAATGGAAACTTTTGGCAGGGTATTCCTGACACCTCTGTGAAGAGAAATGTGAGTAGTGTTGCTGCTGCTGCAAGCTAAGTTACTTCTTGGGTACTGAAGGACCCTCTTGGGCTCAGGGAAGAATATCCCCCCCAAAATATTTGTCTACACGCATACACACATTCACACTTCTTTATATATATATATATAAAAATATACACATACTGGCCCAATGTCCAGGACATGCCTATAAAGGAGGCTGGACTGAAATGATCTTTCCTGCTACATAAGAATCCAGACTGAGACAGGACTGTTTCTTTACTCCTACTGGGATCAAGCAGTGAATCAGGAACTTTTCATCAAAAGGCAGCAAATGCATTGTGTACAGCGCCCTTTCAAAGCGGCTTATTCTGGAGAATCTGGAGAGCAAGTTCATTGATCGAAACCAGAGAATGCTCAAGGCTTTGCTTGGCAGTTATGCTTTTTTTACCCCCCTAAAAAAAGGCCATTTTAAAAAGAACTGTTTCCTACAAACTGGTATGGCTTTATTTGATGCCTACAACTGCAGACACAGTGCCAGGGTAGGTAGATAGAAAACTAAACCTTGCTGATGGCTCTCCCACCTCTAAGGTATGAACATTTATTTTTATAGATGAGTATGTACAAATGCTGGCTGGGGAGGCCTCCTCTCCAATTCTACTCCTTAAAAGAGAACTCTTATTTAAAAACCAGGTCAGTAGCACAAAAACTCGCAAAGTGGTTCACAGCAAGCTTGTCTGTCTGTGCGCAGGCAGCACATTTTCCACGGCCCTGCCTCGTTTCCAGCACACAGAACTAGTTTTTGTAAGCCCAGATGGTCAAAGACTTGTGCCTTTTGTTGCAATAACGTTCTGTTTTCCACATAAAAGGCTTCGGTTTCAGCTTTCTAATTGCATTGCATCATTATATCATTGTGGGCAATTAGGAGGAGCAAACGGGATTACTAGAATTTATGCAAATACAATATCAACTTTACTTTTGAAATAGCATCAGAAAAGCCTTCAAAAGGACTCCAGTGTGTCCAACCCTTCACATTCTCCCAGTGAGAATTAATTCTTTCCCTGTTTACTAGACTACCTTGCTACTAGGGATACCTATATACAGATTTTAACCCTTGCAACCGGGCGGTGGCTGACAATAAAGATCATCAACCACTAAAGTGTGCTCAGAAAGGCAGGTTTGGGATCGAAGACGAAAGCAAAAATACAATAACAAAACCAAAACAGGATCCAGAAGAATGGGATCCTCCTGGCAAGGGGGACCCCGTCCACACATTCTGCCTCAGGCGTCTTCGTGCACAAGCAGAGGCTGGGTGGAAGAGGCGCTGCTGCCCACGGAGTTGATTCGCACTGAATGGTCTGCAGGGATGGGGCTGGGGCTGGGGTTGGAGTTTGCAAAGTTGGAGTAAATCTGAAGAAACAAAAGCATAATCAGTAGGTTAGCTCCTGTATGAACACAGCAACAACACCACTTTTACAGGGTTCAAAGTAATGGGTGTTGATATAAGTCCTGGGGTGCACTGCAGGCATAGTTCATGACAGGCTGGGAGGCTAAACAAAAAAGGCTGGTGGTTCAAATCCACCAGCTGCACCATGGGAGAAAGAGGAGGTAGTCTATTCCTTATGATTTGATTTACAGCCTCAGCAATCCAGTGGAGGGTTGCTATGAGTTAGAAGCAACTTGATGGCAGTGGATTTGGTTTGAGATTTTCAGGAGCAAAAAAACCCCAAGTATACTGACAAAGTAAGATGTTGTTGTTGTTGTTATGTGCCGCCGAGTCGTTTCCGACTCATAGCGACCCTATGTACAACAGCCCTAAACGGTGCTCTATCCTGTGCCAGTCTCATTGCCTCTGACACACCCATCCCGATTACCCCAGTCACTGAATCAATCCACCTCATAGAGGGTACCCAGCATGATGTCCCTCTCTAAAGACCTGTCTCTCCTTACATGTCCAAAGTATGTCAGACGAAGCCCCAGAATCCTTGCCCCCAAGGAGCAGCCTGGTTTAATCCTCTCTACAATGAATCTGTTTGTTTTCTTGGCAGTCCATGGTACATTCAATACTCTTCTCCAGCACCATAGCTCAAAGGCGTCAATTCTCCTTCTATCCTCCCTAGTCACTGTCCAACTCTCTGATGCATAACAAGTGACTGCAAAAACCATGGCCTGTATCAGGTGGACCTTAGTCTCCAGAGAGACACCGTTGCTCTTGAGTACTTTAGAGAGGTCCCTAACTGCAGACTTTCCCATCGCAATACGTTTTTTGATTTCCTGGCTACTGGTGCCAAGAGTGTTGACTGTGGAGCCGAGCAAACTGAAGCTGTGAACAATCCATCCTGATGCTACTGATTGGTCCAGTGGTGAGAACTTTTGTCTTCTTGACATTGAGCCTCACAAAGTTTATTTTACTACTTGTTCCCAATTGAAAAAGCAAAAGCAAAAATTGGTCAGGGATCACGTATAAACCTTGACAACATCACACTGGGAAAAATCCTCAGTCATAATAGGAAAAAATAATGTATGATTTCATTTATGTGAAATAAACAAATGTTATTAAATGTTATTTGAGAGTAATGGTATCACTTTAAAGACTAAGGTGCACCGGATCCAAAGCACGATCTTTTCTATTACTTGCTATGCATCTGAAAGTTGAGCAATAATTAAAGATGAGAAGAAGCATTGATGCCTTTGAACTATGGTCTTGGAGAAGAGTGCTGAATAATTCAGACTGGCAAAAGGACAAACAAGTATGTCTTGGAAAAGGTGTAGCCAGGGTGCTCCTTAGAAGCAAGAAGAGTAAAATCACTTCACATACTTCACATACTTCGAGCATGTTGTCAGTAGGTGCCGTCAAGTCGAGTTCAACATGCTGTTGTTTTGTGCCGTCAAGTCAAGTATGACCCATAGCGACCCTATGAGCAACCGACCTGAACACTGTACTATCCAGTGCCATCCTCACAATCTCTGACACCCTTGTCACTGTCACTGTGTCAACCCACCTGGTCAAGAGTCTTTCTCTCTTCACTACCCCTCTATCTTGCCAAGCACGATGTCCCTTCTCCAAGGATTAGCATCCCCCCAACAACATGCTCAAAGTATATGAGACAAAACATCATCTTTGTCTCCAACAAGCACTCTGGCTCCACCTTCTCCAAAACATAGTTGTTTGTTCTCTGGCAGTCCATTGGATCTTCAGCACCCTTCTCCAACACTACAGTTCAAAGGCATCAATTCTTCTCTCATCCAAAGTCATTGTCCCTGCTTCAGATGCATATCAATTGACTGAAAAGACCACGGACTGAATCAGGCACATAAAGATCTTCCTCTAGAACCACAGATTATGGAAAGCCTTCCCTTAGAGCTGGCGTACTGCTAATTATTTTGTAGCTTGGATATCAGTATTCTTGTTTGTTTATCAGTGTTCTAATTACTGCAGCACTTGTCTGTCAGTTTGCCGTCTTGGTGGGTTGCTGTGATGCTGAAAGCTATGCCACCACTGTTTCAAATGCCAGAGGGGTCACCCATGATGGATGTAAGTGAGGCAGGGCTTCAAACTCCTTGCCTTCAAGGAGCAACCTGGTTTTCATTGCTTTCCTTCTTTAAAGGAAGCTCAAGGCATGACCCTGAACCGAAGAAAGAATGAGTGACTGAGGTCAAGACATAAAGCCCCACAGCCTGAGAGGAAGAATACACCTAGTACTGGGGAAAGAATGGTAGTTCTTTACCCAGGCAGAATGTACTCACATGATTGGTGCTGTCAGAAATCTGCTTCTCAATGAGCTGAACCATCTGTTTGAAAGTTGGCCTCTTCAGAGGATCGGCATCCCAGCAGGTCTTCATGATGTCATACCTACGAACCAATCATGTTTTTGTGACGGTCTGCCCCCTACTTTGCTTCAATGCCCCTAACCTGCCTTCTGGTGTGACAACTTAGATAATAAGTCCAGGGCTGTTGCAACGAGATGTGCTAAGTGCCATGCAGATAAAGTAAAATGCACACATGTATGCAATGCAAATGGTCAGGGTTCTCAGCTATAAGAGGAAAGTCTGAAAGTTCAAGTCATCTAGAAGTGCCTCAAAAGAAAGGCCTGGAGATCGACTTTCAAAAAGTAATCATTGAAAATTCTGTTCAGCAAGTGTAGCTTGACACATGCAACATTGCCATGAGTTGGAACTGACTGGGACCAAATGGCACTTCTTGTTGTTGTTAGGTGCCACCGAGTCTACCACAACTCAGAGACCCAAAACCAACAGATCTGAGCCTTGCCATGTGCTGTACTCAGCCCGACTCTCACAATCTCTGACACGCTCCAGCCCACTGTTAACTGTATCATTCCATCTTGTTGAGTGTCTTCCTCTCGTTTGCTGACAGAAATGATGTCTTTTACCAACAACTGATAGTAAAATGTGTGAAATGCCATTGACATTTTGTGTATTTTTTGTGACAAGAGATTATGAAGATAATCTACAGAAATGACATTTTGACCTGTGAACATAACCAAGTGATATCCGAAGCTGTGCCAGTGTCAATTCTCAACATCTGGTTTTCTCTTACAATAATAAACAAAAGGGAACTTTTTTCCTGAAGAAAAAGCAGCTTGGCACTTACATTTCAGCAGGTGCGTGCTCAGGGCTGAACATCCGGAAGCCTTCTTTGATCATCTTGTAGAACTTAGAATCGACTGGCATTCCAGGGTAGGGGCTGCTCCCTAAGGTACAAACAGGGCAAATCCGCATTAGCCACAAGCCAGCAGGACCCTGGAGACTCTGAGTCTGATCAAGGTGCCTTTGGCAAGAATCATCTCACCTAACGAGAACAGCTCCCACAGGAAAATCCCATAAGACCAGACGTCACTCTCGAACGTGTACACACAGTTGAAAATGCTTTCAGGGGCCATCCACTTCACAGGGAGTCGGGCCTGTTAATGGCAGTAGAAGAGATCCAACAGTGTTAATTAAGAAAAGTTCAACGACTGAACAGAAAATATTTCTAGAGATGCTGTTCTTGTTTGAGACATGGAGATGAGAACTCCTCTACCATTTCATGGTAGACTACCATTTAACTCAGTGACTACCTGAGTGGATTTCTGAATAATTAAACAATTTCATTGCTGTTGAGTCAGAACTGAGTCATAGTTGACCCTCCACTGGATTTCCAAGGCTGTAGAACAAGGGAGAAGAGACTGTTCATCTTTCTCCCTTTAGTGGGTTCAAACAATCAGAGAGGTAAAAGTCTTTGGTGATGATGTCACCTGAGCTCCCTAACTTCCAATAAGCGGCTTGTATTCATTTGTAAAGCCAGAGACATTGAATTGGTGTATCATAGTGGTTAAGAGCACACATTTCAGAAGGAAATATTGAGAGGCTGTCATCTTGACTCTACTACCATTGGCGTTAAGTAAAACAGTGATTTGTTAGTCACTAGTGAATGGCATACATGGACATATTGTTAGGAAATGTCAGTCCTTGGAAAAAGACAGCATGCTTAGTAAGGTGCAGGGTTATGGAAACTGAGGAAGACCTTCAACAAGATGAACTGACACACTGACAACAATGGGCTCAAGCAAATCAGAGATGATGCGGATGGCACAAAAAAGGCAGGGTTCATAGGGTCACTCGTAGTTGTAGTTGGCTCAATGGCACCTAACAAAAATAACAACAACCACTGTGCTTCTAAAGCAACCATAATTTCAAAGAAGTGTTGGATTTAGGGCTGTGTTTGATATTTTTTCTTCATTCTTCTAAAATAACTTTAGGCCTGGGGGGGAAAAATTGTCTTCACAGTTCTCAATCCCAAATGGATGAAGGGGAAGATTTTAAGATACTTGGCTTATTATGCGATATTAACTAATGCCTAACTCACTGTCATCAAGTTGCTTCTGACTCAGAGCCAACCTCCGTCAGGTTTTTGAGGCTATAATGTGTAACGTCTTTCTTTAGAAAGAAGAACCACTTGGAAAGGTGGGACCTTTGTTTAGGGTAGCAAGGTAACTCACTACTGACCATCACCAGAACGGCCTTCTTAGCATCCAGGAATCCAGATTATCTACAAGAGGAATTGTCAGGGAAAGTTTAGATCAATGTTAGTGGAATATCAAGATGTAGGCTACAGCTGAATTTAACTGACCTTGACACTGCCACTCACCACCTCAAACTAGTCATTATCGTCACGAGCAACTCACATGTATCAAGTGTTTGCTATGTGAGGTGCTTCTTCAGATACTAATGAGTCAGACAGGGCTGTGCTTTACCCATCACATCTCACTGAATTCACATGAAGTCTTGAAGTCACTGTATCAATTCATCCTAGATCCAGTTACACATGATAGAGCACGTGTATTGCTGTACCACAAGTTTACTTGTTAATGTTGTGATAGCTTCATTTCAAAGTAATTGGTTTCCTTGGAATTGTGACCTATTTGATTCTGTGGATTTAAATCCATACTCTCACAAGCCATCATTGAGTTTTACCATAAGGAGCCCTGGCATTAACATGATGAAGAGGCCATGTAGAAGGGAAGACCTTTCACAGAACAGAACTCACAGGGAGCTCAAACAAGGAGACCCCAGATGGCTGCCACGTGAATTTTGGAGCACTAAAACTTGTACTGGCCCCGTATATTCTCCTTACTCAACTGCCTTGCGAAAGTGACATCTGTGATTGGTTCATTCCACTGACTTGAGCTAAAGTTCACAATCTGAAATCCCAGTAGGGTCTAGTAACGCTTGTGAATTTCCACTAAAATTGCCAAGCAACAATAAGCCAAAGAGAAGTTGGAGTATAACCACTGCCATGACTATTTAAATTCTAAATAAACACAAACTCATTGCCATGGAGTTGGAACCAACCCATAGCTGATCCTCCAATGTTTTCGGAGGCTGTAAATTGCATGGGAGGAAACTGCCCATTTTTCTCCCGTGGAACCTCTAGTAAATTAGAAACACCAGAGGCACCATAATCATTATATGGTCAGCAGCATAACTGGCCAGGAACTGCAGCACCAGAATTCCAAATAAGACATCTATTAAAAAACCCAATAAGAGGAATATGTGCTATACACACATTAGCTATGACACGCCAAGCTCTATTCTAAACATTTGATGTATACCAAGTCACTTTATCCTCACAACCATTTTGCACAAAATGAGATTATTCCCAAGATGCAAAACCTCAAATTTTAGATATGTTCTTCCCAAATGTCATAAAGCAATTAAATAATGAAGCCCAGATTCAAACAGAGCAAGACGGTGCCCAGAGTCCACCAGCTCTTCCCCTCGTCCTTTGGTCAACATCCAGGTCGAGATACTGAGCTACTTCTCTCTATTCCTCCTCCAGCTATTACATCAGGATGTAGAGAAGTTTGCTTATTAACACTCATGATGATGAAATCTAGCCCTAGAGGAACTTTTATATAAAAGCACGCTTTGGTTAGGAGATAAACTCAACGTTTCCACAAAAGCCAGAGATAGAGTAATGATTAAAGAGATAGTATGAAGTCTGCCAACAGAGATAGCACCGTTATTGCAGAGAACATATTATATTATGGTAAGGGACAAAAACATCACCTCCAAGAGGAAATGTGAAGTGTGGAAACAGATCTGGAGAAATAGGCTTTAGAAAACGTATATTCAGAACTATATGGCTTCCCATGCTAATGTTACTAAGTTCGTTCTGACATCTGATATGTAACTGTCTTTGGAGGACAGAGCAGAATGGTCCCATAGGGCTTCTAAGCTGTGAAGCATTATGAGAGATCACAGGTCTTTTTCCCTCAGAGCAGTTGATGGGGTTGAAAATTGACCTTTTAGTTAGCAGCTTAATGCTTAATTAACTATGACGCCAGGAGGGGGCTTTCTCTCTGGAGAAATATGGGCTGTTTCAGCCTTTGGTGATCTGTGTTACCTCAGACATAATCACTAAAACAGACCACGCCTCACTGTCTCCAAGTCAATGAGAAGACACTGCATTCCAGGCCAAGTGTTTGTTCTGAAGGAAGTTCTAGTGGCCTGATAGATAAGGAGTTGCACTATCAACCAAAAGCTAAAAAGTTTGAATCCAACAGCTGCTCTGCAGTAGAAAGATTGATAATCTCTTCCAGTGCCATTTACAGCCTCCAAAAACCAGTTGGAGGGTCAGCTTTGAACCTGCTCCAACTCTATGACACCTAACAACAACAACAATATATTCTGAGGATAGAGTTAAAACTGGCAAAGAAATCAAAGCACTTTGAGGTAACAATCCCTATGTTCTATAAGCAGGAAGCTCTGGTGGTGTATCTGTAGGGAGTTGAACCGCTAACCTAAAGGTTGCCCTCTCTGGCAGCAGGGATTTATTGGAAACTCCTCAAGAGATAGATGAGCAATGAGTAACTCAAGAGAAAGACTAGCAATCTCCTTTCCCATCATTTACAGCCTTGAAAACCCAATGGAGGTACAGGTGTGTGTGTGTGTGTGGGGGGGTCCAACTCAGTGACAATGAGCCAGAGATGTCCTATAGGGAACTGTGGTATCATAGTGCGCTATGTGTTGCCTTACTAACTGAAAGGTCAATGGTTCGAACCTACCAGCAAGTTCTCAAGAACAAGGAGGTAGCCTCTTCCTATAAAGATTTATGGCCCAAGAAACCAGAGAGAATGGCTGTGAATAAGAAATGACTAAACGGCAGTGTTTATGGTCTATAAACAAAGTATAGCTCATAAGCCCATCTCATGTCTCTGTTGATGACAAGATCTCACAAACTATATAGTCAGTGCTAAGCATTATTATCTTAGAGTTTAATCTTTCCCACATAGCATGTCAATCTCAAAAAAAAAAAAAAAAGCCACCAAAAAATCAACTACTCAACTTTCTCCTGCTGTGACCTTCAAGTCCACATTTGTTACACTTGAACAAAATTGAGTTCATTGCTATTCTCAGGCTATCATGAAAATTAAGGCTATTTCTGTTTCCTCTGCATGCCCCATAATTACACAATTAGAATGAAGAATTCTATTATCGGAATGTTAGTTGTAGTAATGTTCAGCATGCCATGAAAATTTTGCTGAAGTATGCTTAATTTGACTCCTGAAATGCCAGCTACCTCTCAAGGTAGGATCTGCATTATGACAATGAGAGAAGGTAATTGTGATCAAAATTCAAACTTGAAGATCTTTGCCTTGGCTGTCGACAAGCGACGGATACTCACATTCCCTTTGACCACGTAATTGGAATCATTCTTGATGTCTCTGGCTAGACCAAAATCGCAGATCTTTGTGATTCGGCCATGAGTGAGGAGGATGTTTCTAGCTGCCAAGTCTCGGTGAATGCACTATTAAGTTGAGGGAGAAAAAGATTTTATATATATATAAATTAAAATCATTTTAACTTTTTAACTTTTAAAAAGTGAGAACTATTTTTAACATTAGAGCTACTTATATTCTAAAAATCCAATACTTTGATTTCACATCTTTACTATTCCATGCATCAGAATTAAAAAAAAAAAAATCCCACCTTTGTCTTGAATGATCACATTTTGTTTCCCATTGTTGGGACTGTAATTATTAAAATCACTAACAAAAACCGTCCCCTATTAAATGTCTTTTCCCCCACATCCCCTTCTGTCTTATCAGAACTGTCTGATTCATAGGAAAATACATTATAAGGAGTCTTGTAACATTTTTTAAAAGGAAATTTCCTTTCACATGCAGCTCTTTGAATGTCCTTTTATAGAGTTTCTAAAATGTCTTCACAACTTCGGTTTGACATCTTCCAAGGACACGAGGAAGAAGCTCTTTATTTCAGCCACCCTACATCCCCTTTTAGTTTGGTAATTGTCTGGAAATGTCACTAATGATGCCTGAGGACAGGAGCAGTAGCCTTATCCTATCCTGCCTGTCTCATGCCCAGAGGAATTCCTCTCACCCTTCCAGAGACTGTGCTCCTTGTTTTGATTATTCCATCCTTCACTGGTGATGATGGCTGTTGTTATGTGCCATCAACTTACCTGTGACTTATACTGACCTCTATGTACCATAGCTCTGAACCCTGCTCTATGCTGAGTCAGTCTCACTGTCTCTGACACACCTACCCCCATACCCCAGCTACTGTGTCAATCCTTCTCATCCTGGGTCTTTCTCTCCTGTGTTGTGTCCTCCACCCTTCCAAGCATGATGTCCCTCTCCAGGCACTGGTCCTTCCTGACCACATGCCCAAAGTATGTGAGACTGAGCTTCAAAATCCTGGCTTCCAAGGTGTAGCCTGGTTTCACCCTCTTCAGGATCCTTTTCCCAAATGCACATTATTCTCTCCAAGCCTTAACTTCCCACACTTCACACACCATACATGCAGTATTTGAGGATCTGACTTCAAGAAAACACAAGTATCTGCTTCATCCAAACACAGAAACTACATAAGGGCCTCTTCATTTTATTGACAAAAGTTATTATTTCTCTGTTATCGAAGGGTAACTCCTATATCCTAAAAGCCTAAAAGTTTCAAATTAATTCATTGCATATAAAAATATTCATGAAAAGCTCATTTAGACAGGCTTGCACTTTAAAGCTTGTAAATTAGAACACGAATTCCAAGGAGACAGCAGTCAGAAGATGAAAAAACTATATTTCCTCTACTTTGGTTACTGCACATCAAAATGACAATCCTGTGTTCTAACTATGGCTCTAAAATGCTCCAATTTGAAAGGCAGAAAGGGGAAAGGGACTTCCTCTGAGAGGCACCCCCTACTCACATTCTTTGAGGCGAGGAAAGCCATGCCCTTTGCCACCTGATAAGAAAAGCTCAGCAAATCTTCAAGGTCCAGAGCCAACTCGTCATCCTCCATGATGGCGGGGGTCACATCTCGTTCTATGTATGAGCCTGTCAGAAGGCGAGAGATACTCTGAGCATTAAATCCTTACTAGCGGGCAGCTCTGGCAGTGTTGTCCACAGGGAAATAGACCCAAAGGATGCACTTCTCTGGTGGTTTGAATCCACCCGTAGCTTATTGGGGAAAAAGAGGGGCAAACTTCTCCAGGGAGATGGATAGCCACTGAAATTCAGTGGAGGCTCAGTCATAAGTCAATTCCAATTAAAAAATAATGAGTTTGAGGTTTTTTGGGTTTTTTCCTTTTTATTCTGTATTGTATTCTTACAATGTTCATATACATTGTGTTTCACACAATCCTTCACTCACCTTGTGTTTCATACAATCATTTCCCATTCATTATGTTTTAGAAAACTATTCTCCATTGACAACCTTAAAGGTTGGGGAAAGAAAAGATAATAGCAACAATAACACTAAAGACTGGGAAAGAATGAATTAATATGAACTTTCAGGCCAATCACTAGGCAAATTTTAAAGCAATGTCAAAGCTTACATTCACAATCGTGGACTGAGTTCCAAAATCCTAGGGAGATGGAATAGTTGAAAAGAAGATGGCAGGTGGTGTAAGGATCAGATACAGAAACACATGCTTTTACCACAAACACTTGCTGACAGCCCCCGGACTCTACTATAATGCAGGGCTGTCACTTCCAACTCTACAAAACCCCAACTCAAATGCCATCAGGTTAATTCCAACTCACGGGAATTCTGAATGGGGTTAGAATAGAGAGCTCTCTTGCCTGGAATCTGTAGGGAAGAACACTTTTTTCTATAGTACTGTCATTCTTGGCTAGTGGTCAAATGCTGATCATGTGGCCCATTTAAATCCCTTGTAAATGAAATCACTGTTACTGATTGAAAAGCACTCACCTATTCTGGCAGATCTCCTTTTCTCTGCTTTGGTTGGGACAACATAAGAAACTCCAGGTTTCATGTCCATGTACTCATTAGTACTGTCACTGCTGGGAGAGAGGAAACATTGACCAAGTTATGACCGGACAGAATGGGCACTGAGGCAGAGACAGTCATTCATCAGGCAGGCTCCGTCCCCTCTCACCTCCCTCCCTTTTGAATTATATATTGGGTTGATTTTATTTAAAGAAAGAGTGTCAAGTCACAACAAAGAGTTTGAAAGTCTTGTTTGAGAGGATTTGAGTTTTTATTATTCATCATTAATATTCTAACCCCAGGAATCAGATAGCCTCTTTCACATTCACTAACAGAGAGGCCTGGTGTTCGAAATGTCCCTTTTCTTGACACTATACATCTAACAAGGGGAAGAGACAAAACATTATTCCACATTACTTTCAACTCTCTAAATTGGACCCAAGAGACCAGGTAAGATGAAAGAGAGACAGAGAACAAGGACTTCTGAGACACGTCATGGGGAAGGCAGGCAGAAATTGTTAACATATAGCGACTGATGGGAAAAGGTTTTAAAAAAAATCAAATTTGGTTCAGATAAACACCAATAATTTGGATGATTTTCTGAACCATCTGGACCTCTTGAATCTGCAACATTTGGCTGGAGACTCTTCAAGATTTCTAGTACTTCCTGCTTCTGATTAGCATAGAAACACCATGACAACAATCTCCTCTGAGTGTGCTGGTGGTTCCAGTTCCATATGGGATCCCAAAGTACAAAGAATACTACCCAGGATTGAGCAATTTGGTCCATTATTTCAAAACGTGAAAAAATATATAGGAGCCAAGATTACAGAAAGAAGGCAAGGTGGTTCATTTCTTTCTACAAAGAACGTAGGCTTTGGAGAAACCAACAGAAATGATGGTTTGCCCCAAATTTACAACTTGAAACGATTCCATTTTACAGAGTGGGGAGGGGGGTGATGGGGAGGGTGAGAGGGGATCCCTGAAAGCTTCACCTGGAATTTTTTAACTTCAGCCAGAGATACAGATACCATCCTCATCACTGCTGGCTGCCACAGAGTTGATTTTCAACTGAGAAAAGATACCATCAGACGTTGTAGGATTGGGGCAGAGACTGGGATTTTCTAAATTATAATTTTTCCAGAAGCAGAATGTCAGGTCTTGCTTCTGTGAAGTCAATGGGTAGGTTCAAACCTCCAGTCTCTTGGCTAGTAGTCATTGTGGCGCTCTAGTGGCCTAATGGCAAGAAGTCATGTGGTTCAAATCCAGCAGCTGCTCCACGGGAGAAGAATGGACAATCTCTTCTCGTGCCATTAACTGCCTCTGAAAATCCACTCCGGGGTCAGCTACGGGTCTGTTTTAACTCCATGGTACACAACCACCACCACCACCACTAACTACCAAGTTCTTTAAGTGGTAACTATCCATTCATAATATTCATTGAAGTCTCCTTCGAGAGCTAGGTGGTAAGAGCTCAGGAGACAAGGCTCTGAAAACATAAATGAATAAAAAAAAAAAAAAAGCACAACAGGTATCCACTGTACAATTATAGAAATACAAAGCAGAGAAGAATTGAGGTTGATAATTGGGACTCTGGTCCGGCTGAGTAAACCTGGCCATCTTCCTAAGAGGTGAACCTTAACAGCACTAGGAATGAACAAATGGGCATGGATTAGCAGAGGAATTGATTTCCAGTTGTAAGGCTAACTAATTCACCTTAAAACAACTTGGAGCTCTTCAGACATCACTCAATTTCAGAAAGTTACCAATGACAGAAGAAATAAGAATAAGGTACAGATTATTCTTAATGTGGCAGAGTGGTTATACTTTTTTGTAGTATGAGGCGTGGAAGGGGGGGAAAAGCAAGGAATATAGAAATCATTCTGAGGTGGAGGGAGAGAAAGCTATGGTGGAGGTTTCTGAGCACTTTACCATTTCTGTTAAAGGTTTTAAAAGAATTTACTGTGACAACTTGATAGCTTTTAGCATCTTCTGCATAAACAGTATCTCCCTGTGAAGATGCATGTAGTACTAAGCTCCGTGGTACAAATGCAAAGACACACAAGAACAGAGCTGTGGTAAGACGAACAGGTATAGAATTTACTCAACGCGACCGAATGAAAGCAGGGGGGTGGGGGAACACCCAAAGACTCATTTTAAAAAATAAAGAAAAAAACCCAAACAAGCTCCCAGCCAAAAAAACAAGCCCAAGATTATAAGATTATTCCAATCTTTAAAAACACTATTTGAACTTTTCCACACTGTTAATCACATTTAAATTATTTAATAATTCTGATTTGGCACCTCAGTTCATTTTTTTTTAAGAATCAGCCTTGATTGCAAACCCTTATGACCCCATGAACTGCCTGTCAACAGCAGACTACTTATGTAAATTGGCCTTACCACACTGAGGCCTCCTTTGAATGAAGAAGGTTCTTATAAAGTGCTGCTTCTGCCTGATCTTCCTGCTTGGAGCAAATAAATGAATCACGTTTCCGTCTCAAAAAATTCAAAAGATCACCATAGCAACAATATTCTGTAATGACCAGGGTGGGCCCTGTAAGCACAGAAGAAAAGGTTAAGAAAAGAGATGACACGGGTAGATAATTTGGACTCACATTAAAAACACCCAGGGGTAGCAGTCCTGGTCATTAGAACCCAGCTTAAATGGATAAATCTACTTAATGCCAATACAATCCTATCTATGAACAGTGCTTATCAAAAAGCAGCATTATCATGTAGCATAAAGCTAACAAGCAAGTCTTTTACCTGAATTAGTAAGGGAGGTTGGTGTTTGGGGCCTGGTTTTATAGGCAGAAGTTAGGCCTTCAGACTATATTGTATGATTATTGGCCTTCCTACAAGAATCCTGTGATTTGATTCTGTTTACAGTGGGGCTTCCCACCCTCTCTGTACGGTTATTATGGAAATGATGAAGAGCACAAACTGTGGCATAATGGGGAAAACTAACCGCCTGGAACAGCCAGCTGAGACAAGACTGGAAATTAGGTGACAACCCGCGGTAACAGGGCATCACCTGTGTTCTGCGTCTCGCCAGTCAAGGGATACCTCAGTGTGACAAACGCCTGGAGCGGCAGCTCCGAGGTAATAGGCAACCAATTAATTTAGGGAGCAATTGCTCATGAACAATTCATGATGCAGTTAAGCAACCCTTGTGGGGGCTGCGTTAAGAAATCCTATAAAGCTGTCAACTTGCCCGTGAATCTATACAGAATTTGAGGAACAGTCACTGTTTCCCATTCTTTGTTCCCTTGGACTGAAAGTGCTCTCTGCAAACATCACAGACGCTTGATGGAAGCTTCCACTAATGCTTCCGAATTGGTAATTGTAAAAGGTTTGCCCCATTTAGGGGAGGGGGGTGTG